CAGGCCAGCTGGCAGAGCCAGGTCTTCAAATCCCTCCGAAAGGCCTGGAATGAGGGGGCCTGTCTCACCTCCCGGGGCAAGATGTTCCAATATGGTGGTACCCAGTGTGATTCCTTATTTCACTTTAAGTCCATCACTCAGTACTCTTTAACATCCAAGCATCTGAGTTGTACAAGGGTAAATACGTGACTGAGGCTTTGACTTATCCTCTTCCCTGGTTTTCCTGTAGGAGTTGTTGATGGTGCATGACTTCACCAAATTCCATGGGCTGAAGCCCCGCATGGTGGAGGCATTGGATGAGTTGCTAACACTAGACATTGCCAAGTTGATGCCCCTTTTGCGCCAGGAGGAGGTTGAAGTCCCAGAGCAAATTGTCCAAGGTGGAGCCTTTGATGGCACTCGCAATGGTCCCTTTGTTGAGGGAGCAACCGAAGGGGCCTATGAGGGTATGGATGATGATGAGTGGGTTGTGACCAAGGACAAGCCCAAGTATGATGAGATTTTCTACAACCTCTCCCCAATGGATGGCAAGCTAAGTGGCACCAAGGCCAAGAATTGGATGGTCACCACCAAGCTGCCCAACTCAGTTCTCGGGAAGATTTGGAAGTTGAGCGACGTTGACCGGGATGGCATGCTGGATGATGAGGAGTTTGCTCTGGCCAGCCACCTCATTGAGGTCAAACTCGAGGGCCATGGTCTGCCCTCTGACCTGCCCCGCCATCTTGTTCCACCTTCCAAGCGTCGGCAGAAGGGCTCAGCTGAGTAAGCAGCTTCCTGAGTTTGTCCCCTTCTTAACACCAGGCTTGAACTGCTTCAGTAGGTGCTGGTTCTTCTCCAATTTTCCTTGAAGCAAACTTTCAGGCTTGAATTCCTTATGAAGGCCTCAATTTTACACAGCAGCCATTTGGAAAACTGCTTTCTGCTCTACTCTTCAAACCAGGCTTCCAGCTCGAACTTCTCTGTCCCTTCCAGACTTTAAATGACTCCTGTCCGCCTCAAAAAGCCTAATTTCTTCATGCAGAATTAAGTCTGTTGATCTCACAGTGTAGCTTTTTGTGTCCCTCTAACTGCCTATGATCCTAAATATCTATAATATTAGACTTCTCACAAGGTCTTTTTTCTCAGAAACCAAACTCAGCTTCATTTGCTTCATGAACTACCCGAGTAAGAATACTACTTCCTCCATGCCTAGTTCCAATGTTCCTTTGGGCCGCAGTCTGGCCCACATCAGACCCACCTTAGGTTTTACTTCTCTTTAATAATTCACGGCCAGATCTGCTATCAACTTAGGCTCCAAATGGCCTTGATCTTCTAGCTTTCTTTATCTCTGGTCTCACTAGAAATGGTAAACATCTTTTCTCTGTTCCACCTTGCCGTTGGCCACCTTTTGTCTAAAAACATCTTAGTTGATTGCTTCTCCTACAATAATCAGTTTTTGATGGACTCTCTTCAGTCAAGTGAAGGAAGAAGGACAAAGGGAGACCAGAGATAAATGGCTGGAAGCTGTTCATGGGTTGTTCGGAGCCACAAACAAAGCTGATCACAGAAGCCTTTATTGTGGTTGAGAAACAGACATTCTTAATCCAGTCTGTCCTTCACCCTGAATCAGACAGGGGTGGAAGAAATTTGTACTGCCTCCCCCCACAGTTCCCGTTAATTAGAGGAGGTGAGGTAGGATACATGGTAAAATCCCAACCTGACATTCCCTAGGTTCAGATCCCATTGTGGTTTTCTATTTGATGTACCTAACCAGGCCTGTGGATGATTTTTTTCTGCCATTCTTAAGCTAATGTTATTCCCCATATGGGTAAAGACTTGGGCATTTGGGGATAGCAAGGGCAAATAACAGTCATTAAAAATGATAAAGTGATAAGAAACCCCTAATTTCAAGAGACACTCATAGAGCAGCAGAACCCACCAATAATGCCAAGCTGACAGTAAGGGCAGGAGTGGCTGGCAAGCATGGGAAGTGACTCTGTGCTCCCGACATCCTGACAACAGATTTAGACCTGCTCCCTCCAGATGGTTGAATGACTTCAAGAATTCCCAGCTCTGCTGGCTGGAAATTCTAAGATTTGTTGCCCAGCCTAACTGGAAGGCACCAAATGGAGGAAGGTTGAGGGTGGGCCGGGGGTGTAGCACAGGTGGGGATGGAATGAGTTGCTCCTCCTTAAAGCAGAAGGTGTTCCATATTCTCCACTCCTCCTTCTGGGGTGGAATTGGCAGAACAGAGTACCTGTAGAAGCCCTTTCCCAGAGCAAGAACAGCGGTGGTGAGAAGGCTGTATTGTACACAAGAGGATACTGCTGAAGCTCAAAGATACTGAGACTGAACCGGGACCAGTCCTAGTATTGGGCAAAGTGATGAAACAATCTCACATCAGATTTGTGAGTACCATGGAGGGCATCCACTTTCAAGGAGGCCTACAGAATGGGTTGTTGGTGAACTTTCCTCCAAATTCTTTTCTGCCTATCACTGCAGCAGCTAGCTTGTACAACCATGTGGCTTCCTTCCCCAACCCTAAAATACTGCTGTGCCCCAGCATTCATGGGGTGGGACAGTAGAGACTTATTCTGGAGATCAAGTGATCTTTTCCCTTTTTTCCTGGTAAGTGGCCAAGGAGAAGACATGGCCCTTGTAGTCCAGGAGGATCCATCTAGTTGCAGGGGATAAGCTAATTGCTGTGGCTGAGCAAGTTGAAGAAGGGTCAGTGTCCAAAATCAGTAGCTTTCAAACGGAAAGAAAGGCAGCAGAAAATGAGAGGAAGCGGGGCGGGAAAAAAATGAGAACCATCTGCTTTGTTGGAAGGAATAGCAGGAAAGGCATGTTTCCCAAGAATTTGGTACCGGGTTCTCTATCCAGTGAGGAAACCATAATGTGAAATCTGAACTTCACTTGTAGGATATATCAGTATTAGAGAGATTCTGACATTTCCCAGTATTGGCTAGAAGCCAATATTTCAGGCTAGGAAGATTTCAAGCTCCATGTCACAAGAGAACAGCTGCCTCTCAACTACATTCCAGGGGATGTATATACAAATAATGTGTAGACCTTTTTTTTTTAATGCCCTAGCAACAGGAAGCTTGAGTAGCCCAAAGCTGCATAGCCAAAACCAAAACCTTGTGCTGCATTTGCATTCATGCTATTGATCTCAAATCAAGTTGGACTTTAAGTCCAAAGGCCAGTGGCTTTTAACACTCAAACCCTACCCCATGGCAACCTGTCTTGCAAGAGTGATGTTTTACAGCTGTCTTGCCAATCAGGACAAGCATGAATCCCTTCTGGAGGATCACAGGGTCTGGAAAGATGCTATCCTTTGGTGCTTGACCAACTGGAGAGCTCCATTTGGTGTTGAGGATAACTCTCTCCATCTTGACCTCCTATATCCCTCTGCAGACGGGTGAATATCTTGCCCTGGGTGCTACCAAGATGCTTCTTCAGATCTGAGTGAGGACTGTACCAGACTAGGATACCTACCCTAGTTTAATACCAGAATTACTATTCTGGCTTCATCCAAAGAACCCTGGGAATTCTCTCTGCAAAGGAAGCCTCAAGCACAAATGTGTCCAATAGTGAAAAACTGGAGAGCTATTGAACTAAATAAGAAGCTGGTGTCTCTTTCTCAGGTTGGTAGCAACGCCCCGTGATTCCTTGGAGGACTGTGAAACAAGACAGTGCATTTTGAGGAATCCCATCTGTGAATATGCCATGTGGCTGACAGAATAACCTTAAACAGTGGATGGCTGATCTTTCAATGTTAGGCTCCTGAAATAACAAGGGATTTTTAATGGCCACTGGCTTTATCCAGGTCTTTTCAATAATGGAATAGAAGGCTTTAAAAAAATATTTTAAAAGTCTTCTATACCATTATTAAAGACTCAACTCTGGTATTGAAAGGTTGACCATCCAGATTTGTGGGCCCATTCAAATTATTGGCTGAGCCACTGGGATAGAACACAATGTGTACGATTAACCTGTTAAGAGTTAGAATTGAATAGAGAGAAATATTAACAATCACATCATTTCTATAAAAAAAAAAAAGGCTAAGGAAAAAATCCACATGTATCTAGTGGCTATAGGATGTTGGAACAAGGTTTAGAGGAAGTCTCAATTTCAGATATTGGTTCAAAGTGCCAAGTCAAATCTTCAGCATCCAAATTTTTGTTACATATATTTGTATGCCTTTTCTTCATCTTGCATAGCTTTTTAGCTGTTTTTATCAGGGGGGTAAAAAAGTAAAGAGGAATGCTGGAAGTGAAAAACTTAAGGTTTCCAACCATTTCTCTCAAATCTTGAGATCTAGCCACTTGCTTTAAAAGAACTGAAAATCAGATACTCATGCAACTTGCAAGCTTAGTGTTGATAGAGCACACACAGTATCCAGTCCACATTTGCTTTGTTAGCAAATTTCCAGTACAAGGTTTGGTTCAGCTTCCAGCTGCCATGAAGATGAGTGTATGAACAATAGGTCAGGACCGCATCCAAACCTGTTTTATTCCACCCATACCTGTTTTGTTTAATTTCTTTTCGCTGTAGTTAAATCTCACATTTGATCTGCTTCCTTTCCACCATTCACCCTTCAATTTTATAATGTATTGCTACAGCAAAAATGGCATGCATATTATTATTTTTTCACACATTGTAACACAATTTTGTTGTAATCTACCTATCTTGCTTGGAAGTTGCCTTAGGGATGACTTGAGGCTGTTTGGGAGAGTTTTTGGACCTTTGAGCAGAACTAAAGAACAAGGAATAAAAATGGAGCCTGTGTGGGGTTTTCAGGGTTGAGGCATCTCTTGAGTTTCTTTATTCCTGTAAACTCCCTTAATCCACTGCACAGGCCGAGGTCCTATAACCAGAGCTCATTCCTATTTTCTGCACCACCAGGTAAAATTCAGACTCTTGCAGCCAAGATCCCCAAGTACGCAACCAGAACAATGATGCAAATTATCTATTCAAAACATGAATATTCTTTTTTGTTTATTTAGCTTTCCTGGGTCCTTCTGCTCCCAAAAGATGCCCAGAGTTCCTATTCTTGCAAACAGCATCTCTCTCGCTTCTGAAGAGGTGGGGGCGAGATCTGCACCCCCTTCTTTTGCACTGAGCTGCCCCATTACTTGGGATGCTGAGGGAGGAGGGCGCAGCTCCCCTCCAGATGCTGAGAAAGCTTCATTCCAGTTGGTGGGGCAGGAATGGGGAGAGTCAAGGAATCTGGCTTAACCACCTTTGGCTGAGAGTCCAGTTGCTTGTCTGCTGGAGCTCAGGAGTGCAGTCTGGGCCTTGTGAGCTGTTCCTTTGGCATGGCTCTGCTATTGTAACAATATTTCAGTTGGAATAAAACTTGTATTTACCAATCTGAACCATGCCTGGCTGTTCACAGTATATTAGTATGTGCAGAGGTGCGTGGCTGCCTTCACAGAAACTGAAACTGACTACTGTAATTTACCCATTTTCTGAGAGTATGCAATACAACGTACCACAAACTTAAGAACCTGGCTAGGTTGAGACAACATGTTCAGCTACAAGGCCCCCAACCCAGGTTAACGCTATTAAGGGCTATTTCAGAAAGCCTTTGGGGATTGGTAAATTCCCATGCTGTAGTTGGGGGGGGGGGTTGCAGGGCGTCCATGGGGAGAAATCATAAAAATGAAGATGATGGCTGCAAACGTGCAATCAAGCCACCATCTTGACTTTTTTGACCCTTGCCTTGGGAGAACCCCCCGGTGATTGGTTGTTGGTGAAAGGGTCATTCCTCTGGTGAATGTGATTACTATTACGATTATTGTTGCTTATGGTCTATGTGGTTTTTAAACAAAATGTTCTAATCTCTTGTTACTGTGTTGCCGTGTAAGCTGCTTAGAGTCGTCCATGACTGAAGGGACCTGTAAAGCTAAGTAAATAAATAAGTGAAATAAATAAAAACAACCAACCTTGGCATGGATGCTGATTTTTCACCTGACCTGGGCGTGTTGTGTGCACGTGTGCGTGTGAACAAGAGAGGGAGAGAGTTCATGCATTGCACTAAGCCATAATGTTGTTTAGACTGGGTTAAGCATACAGGTATTGTGTGAACCCAGCCAGTTTGGCATCATCGCTTTGCATCATTGACTTCTCTCATCACACCGAGTCTCCATTTGCCTCTGAGCAGGTTTATTTAATAAACTAGAGTTGGCTGAATTGAGTTGCCATGCTAAACCACCACCTTGAGTGTGCAAACGCTAAGAATCCCTTCTTGTTTGTCTGCCGTTCTTTTCTCGACAGCGCATGTACGCATTTCGACCCCACGTGGCAGTCTGAATGCCCTGCTCAGCTGTAAGGGGCTGTTGCTGTTGATATTATTAATCGTTGGCCTAATAGAAAGGAAGAGCACACCCTTAGCAGCAGGCACAAAGCCTGGCTTAAGAAAACCTCCCTTGTCCTTACGTGCGAAGGCGGCTAGGGATAAAGGGAAGCACTCTGCACAAGCTCCGAGACGCCGTGTCCAACCATAGCCAGTCTGGCTCCAGCTGGGATGAAGGGGCAGGAGCACGAGAGGAGGGACTTCCTAGCATCTCTCCTGGGGATTAGCAGCCGCCTCCCTGCCCACAGACCTTAGCAAAGGCCGTAATGCAGCTTTGCACATCGAACATCCCAGCTTGGCTTAAAAAAAACACCACCACCACCTAGAAGAGGGCCCCAGTTTGCCAACCAACCTGGCTTGGAGAAAGCCATGTGCCTTTTCTACAGCCCCCCCCCAACTTTCCCCAGGGACTGCCCCCCCTCCAAAAGGCGATGGCCAGTATAAAGTAGAGCTGCCCTGTGCGGCCTTCAAGAATCCAGACAGCCACTAGATGGCAGCACAGGCCACGCTCCACCAGGGGAGGGCAATGCAGCCTCTCAGTCTGGGTTTTTTCAGCCCAGGTATTGTACCCCATCTGACCCGTCTGGGGGAGGAATGTCGATTCCAACTAGCTCTTCACTTTGGCAGGGCACAGCCCGGGGCGGTGAGTCAGCGCCTGAGCTGCTGCCAGCCCCTCCCAGCCTGGCCAAGGAAAACTTTTGCATTCCTCTCTCAGCCGAAAAAAACCAGGCGTTCCCTGGCTGCTCAGATCATGGGCATGGGGGCACAGCTCATGCCCCGATTGGCTGGAGGGGAAGAGTGGGCAGGGCAACGCTTAGATACCCCCTTCCCCTTCGCAGCACTCGAGGTACTCCCGATGGATGCCTTTGAGCAACCTTATTTAGATCCAGTTTGGAGGCATGATTTTTCAGCTGATTTAAAGGCCTGGCCTTGGCAGTGTTTGAGCTATTCAAGATTTGAAATGCAAGAAGAAGCCAAAAAAAAAAAAAAACGCATTTTTAAGAGCTGCAGCCTTAAACATATATCTGCAAGAAACCAAAGAGCTTTTCCCAATGTGCTGGTCTGCTCAGCCATATTTCTACTAATAATCTGTGGTTTAAATTCCCTCCATGCTGGCTCTTTGTTTTTGCAAAGCTCCCCTGGTTAGTTGCATGGACCTGATCTCTGTTCACCACAGGTGACTAGAAGAACTGCTTTTCACAGATAACCAACCAGCAATGGGATAACGGAATAAGGATCCCGCTTACAGTGGATTAAGGAAGAGCTGATCTCTACGTGGAGAGTTTTACAGAAAGTTACTGGAGCATCTTAGATTTGCTTCCTCCCCTAGAAATAGTTGGGTGTATTTCCCGTGGCTGCCTGGAAAATAAAGATATTGTTTGCAGTGTATCAATCCCTCCAACTGAATGCAGGATTTCCCCGTGGCTGTGTGTGTGTTTCTGCCATTCCCTTCCTATTGGCTTTAAATGCCCAAATGCATGTTTTTAATTAGGAACAGAACCAAAGCATGCCAGCCTCCTCCCTGGAGCTCTGTCCCATATGTGTGCGGTGGAAAGTGGAGCAGAGATGGGAAAAACATCCCGTGCTTTCATGTTCTCTGCTGTCTTGAATATGTTGAGTAGAAAAGAAGCTTTGGGATTTCCCTTGAAAAAACAGTGAGAGAAAGAGAGAGAGAGCATTGGTCCAGGGGAGAGCATGGCTGGCTGGGGAATTCTGGGAATTGAAGTCCACATATCTTAAAGCGGCCAAGGTTGAGAAACACTGGTCTAGGCCCAGCTCTCTGGATGGGTTTGTAAAAGAAAATTGACTGTTTTTTATTTGAACTCAGACACTACCAATCCAGGGATGGGGCAAAGATGAAAAAAAAAAAAAAAACGAAATGGTTTTGCATGCCAGAACGGAAGACAGCTCGCCGTCCTCCTTCCACACGAGACCCCTTTCTTGGTATCCCAACATTCCTTCATTTCAGGATGAAAATTTTGGGGAGGAAGGCAAGGGAGTCTGCAGGATGTGGCCAGAACATCAAGATGGCAGCCCCAACGGTGCAATCAACGCTCCGTCTGTTTCTTTCACGTGCGGCCAGACTTTTCTGAGCATGACCTGTGGACGCCTCCTTGGAGAAAGGAAAATCATTGTCTTGCCATGGTGGCCAATCGGTTGGGGGACACAGACTGATGTTGGCCTCCAGCAAAGGACTCAGACCTTATGATTTGTTCTTTCTGAAGGACAAGGCGCTAATATCATGGCTTCTTTTATTTACCGTGGAAGCATTTGTTCTGCATCACATACATTATTCAGTTACCCTTTCGACAGCACAGAAAGATAGGCGCCTTGCAGGCAGGATAAAGATGAACCGGAAAAATTGTGACTTGCCCCTTTAGGCCCTCTAATGTATTTGTGGCAGAAGCAGTTTTTCAACCTGGGACTTCTTGATTTACAGCTTACTGTGCAATGTGTGCATTGAGACCCCTTGAACATAACATTGAAGTATCTAAGATTATAATCTTACACTCCTCATAATACACGTTGGTTTTATAACACCCAATACTGCATTACTTCCCCCCCCCCCTTTGATTTTATTTATATTTTTTAATGTCTCCAAATGTGTTAATTCCAGCGGAAATAATATTGGCCTAGGTTTTCTGATTCTGCATTCCTCATTTTCCCCAGCAGTTCCAGAAGGCTTTTTGGACCACCCTTCCCAACCTGACAGTCACCCAGCTGGCTTTGTGCTTAGGCGAGACTAGAACTCACCGTCTCCCGGTTTCTAGCCTGTGCCTTAGCCTCTACACCAAACTGGCCCTCAATAATAATAACAACGTCCCTGCAGTTTTCTTGGCAAGATTTCGGAAGTGGTTTGCCCTTGCCTCTTTTCAAGGGCTAAGAGAGAGGGACCGGCCCAAGATCACCCAGCTGGCTTCATGCCTAAGGCGGGACTAGAACTCGAGGCCTCCTGGTTTCTGGCCTGGTGCCTTAACCACTAACCCAAACTGGCTGTCAGGGTCTCTGTAATCCTCTGAAAAAAAGAGAGACTAGCACCGGGGGGCTCCCCAGCAGCAAACACACAGGCTATCCACTCCCTCCAAGCCAGACAGGACCAGAATTGAGTCCCCAGCTTTGGCAGACCCATACATGCATCAAAATGCACATCTGTGCAGCTGTCTCATATGACTACGTACAGATGCTCTCTTTTCTTTGTAAGCAAGTCATCAGAAGGGGTCCGTTAGCACCATTTCTGACTAACAAATGTTCTGAAAAGACTTTTAATACAAATTTTAGCTGAGAAGCTTCTGCCTTTTAATAACATTTGTGGGTCAGAAAAGGTGCTAGCAGGCTCCTGATTTTTTGCCACTGTAGACTATCACGGCTCTTCTCCTACAGTGTTCCCAAGCAGGCGGGTCCTGATGGGAAGGAAACCTAGGCTTTCTCGGGATTGCTCATACAAGGTTCATGACATTGAAATGAAAAAAACTTTGCAGCATTGCAGTCATTAACCAGCACAATATTACGCTGTTCTCTGCAATCTGTGTCTCATGTAACCCACAACTGCATACCTAACCTGTCTTCCCCTCCTTTTCACCCTCCTTTGGCTCACCCCAATTTAAATCCCACAACAGTCTAGCCCTCCACGCGTCTGATGAAGTGAGCTGCAGTTCCCCAAAACTTCTACCTTTGAATAAAGTTTGTTAGTTGGAAAAGGTGCTACCAGGCTCCTCCTGTTTTTAAGGCAGCAATGGCACGTCCCATTTTTTTTCCCTTGGCGCTGCTGGGATGACTTCTGATTTCACCAAGTGGGACAAAATGTCTAAAAGGAAACAT